TTTTTTTTTTTGTCAACGAACAAATCGAATAGATTTCATTAGAACGGAGAATTTGCAATGGAAAGTCACCGGGATTTGGCACAGATATCTATTTTCTCATGGATGATCTCTTCTTCTTTCATGCGAGGCCAAGAACCTCCACAAACACACATACAAACATCTTTTAAGATTGTCGTTTTCATCATCATCATCATCATCATCAGCATCAGTATTATCATCGTCATCGTCATCATCATCATCATCATTTTTGTCTTTTTGTCATCATTTAAATAAAGAGAGTGGAGGACAACAATCTGTTCGATTGCAGATTTCCCCAGGTCATTCGGACGAAAAAATCTAGCCCCTAACTGTAAAAACAACGATTGGTTTTCCATCCTATCTCTCTCTCTCTCTCTCTCACTAACTAACTAACTCACTCAAACACTCATACATTTATATATTAACTTTTTCTTTTTGTCGTTTGCTTCAGTCTTTTGAATGAAAGTAATATATAAGAATAATAATAATAAAAGTGACAATCCGAGTGAACTTTAATCGTTACGTTTTTCATTATTATTTAACACAATTCATGTCAAACTAAACTAATCAATGTAATAAGTTAGTCATAGAAATAATTTTCTTCATACTGTGAATACATTGTCACAAGAAGCGACATGACAAGCAGAAGAGTATATTCAAGTGAAATTTGTCAAATCTAATAACACCTGACTTTAACATACGTTTATTTCATTATATATTATTCTTTACTTTAAATTGTAGATGTGAACAATTGCTTCTTTTTTTTTTTGTCTTCTCGATAAAAAAATGATCTATAACGTAACCAAAAAAAAAAAAAAAAATAAAAAAGAAGCTTTTTATTCGTACATTAATATATTTGATTATATCATCATATTAAAGTTTACGATATGTATAAAAATATTGGTCTTTTTCAAGATGTCAAACTATTGCCAATGATGATTGGATTGCATCATGTAAATCGATACAATTGTTAAATTTATTCGATTGACATTATGATTGTATCAAGTACTATTTGTAATATGTGTAGAATTATTCCAAGGTCGTTCAAATTTACGTTAGATTAATAATCGTCTTCTCGTAACTCTTCGATTTCATTCGATACGATAGATACGATTGATCTATTTTTTATTTTTTTTTTTTATTTAACAAATATAAACAAGAGAAAGTAAGATGACAGAAGGAAGGGAATGATAAAAATAAAATAAAATAAAATAATGTAAAGGATAAACATAACATATTTTAAGTATGATCGAAGTAACTGGTTGGATAGATCATTTCGTATCTTCAAAGTGAATTGAAGCGTGATAATTGGATGGCGACGTATCGTCTGGTTTAACTTAATTGTCAATACGTTCTGAATAACTTGCATATATCATTATTATTATCATTATTATTATTATTATTATTTCGTAATATAATTTTCTACGTTCTTACATTATTATAATACAATATAATAAATGAAAGATTTGAAAATCTTTCAGCGAAAGTTTTGTAAAATATTTCCAAAAAAAAAAATCTTTTTTTTCGAAACCTTGCAGATCATCATTCTAAAAGATTTTGAAAAAGATTCATAAAAGATTGAACATAAATATTTTCCAAACATTTTAAAAATATTTAACTGATAGAGTTAATCTTTTGCAAGTCTCTGAACGTGGACATTATTTTCATCTTGCAAAGAAGATTTTGTAGAAATTTTGTTGAAAAGTTTAAAAAAAATGTCATTCTTCTTCGTTTTACATAAAATGTATAACAATACCATTTTTACTCTACGTTCGACGTGTATACACGTCGTTGCTTGTTTTTTAATTTCGCACCCACAATGGTGGTGATCTTTTGAAACTAAATTCCACAGTTAACTGTTAAATACTTTCTTACATTCTACAAAGTAAACATAATAAACACGGATGTAAAATGAAAATATTCGAAAAAATGGTGAGTTCAAAGGTCACAGTGATTTTGTTTTTTTTAAAAACGATACCACCACCACCACCACCTTTTCATTCTTTTATTTATCGACAAGATAATTTGATCTTTACTTAAAATCAAATGCAATTAGTCCCAAAGGGATTAAACATTGCACTTGCAATTGTTAAACGTTACACTTGCATTCTCAAATGTTGGTAAAAAATAAAAAAAGACAAATAGTTTTGGCGATTGATTGATATAAAAGAAAACGAAGAGGAAGAAGAAGAAGAAGAAGAGGAGAATGAAAGAACAATGAAGCAAATAAAAAATAAAAAAATAAAATAAAAAAAAGAGAGAAAGAGAGAGGGAGAGAGGGAGAAAGTAACAAAGGTGAAAGATGAGTTTGATACTTGTAAATAAAACCCTTTTTTCAAATGATACTATAATACTCCTCTTTCTTCATCGTCTTTTAATCTACATGGATACATGTGTGTCTCAATTTCTACCAATCGTGTGTTTAACGAAAAAAAAAATAGATTAAAAAAAAAAACAGGGAAAATAATATAAAAAAAAAAAAAAATAGAAATAGAAATAGAGAAAGGAAAGAACAAAGGGAATGGCTCTTTTATTGGATAGACATTCGAAGATCAAAAGACCAATTCGCATCTCATTTAATGAACGACGATAGGGTGGTATCCTATTCAAAGGGTAAGAAAAAAACAGAAATAGAAGATGAAGATGAAGATGAAGAAGAAAAAGAGAGAGAGAGTGTGTGTGTGTGTGTGTGTGTAGAGTATCGTGAAAAACATTTGGAGTATTATCGATCGACCAGAGGAGTATTTTACACATTTAAAATGATACGTGTTATATATAACCCGGTTGTGTTGTTGATTGTTTAAATGAAATTAAATTAAAAATAAATT